CCCCAAAACCCCAAAACCCCAAAACCCCAAAACCCCATTAAGATAGATTTTGAAATTAATTAGATTTGCCAATTATTGAGAAAATAAATAGTTCACTTAATAATTTAAAACTATACTATAATATACATTTGCAATGGGCTCAAAGTAATCTGCTTCAAGCGAGTACAGATAATAAAGAAGACTTAGAAAACTCTCTCAAGACTTATCTGCCTCAAATTTCTTCTTATAGGAGGTTGCTTTGAATTCTGAGCTATCCAAAAGATAACTCAAGAGAACTGTCTCGCCAAAACAAAATCAATTACAAACTGAGACAAGCAACTGCCAAAGAGAAGAGATGGCTACCAACACATAATCTTATTCAAAGTAAAAATGAATAACTTAAATATATCAGCAAAAGCACCTACAGTGACGACTCTCATTCTCAATCCAAGTATTCAAGTTTGTTAGATGCATCAAGCATCTCAAATCTATCAGCATCTCCCTTCACAGAACTTAAGCTGATCCAGGAAAATGAAAACTTGTCAGAAAATGAGCAGCCAATCGAAGATAAATATATCAAAGAAGGTAAGATTAAGAATATGTTGACGTCATAATGACCTATGATTAATTGTGTAGAATTCACTACTTTCAGATATGAATATCCCGCAACCGAAGTTGAAATAGTCTTCATAAATAATGGAGAAATCTAGTTCAAGTAGAAACTTAGCTAGGTCGAGAACATTTACGGCCAAATAATGTTTGAAACACACATTGTAAGCTTATAAAGAATAATTTAATAAGATTTATACAGGATTTATTACCAGGATACTACAAATATTACTACTTAGCTGATGGAGTTTGCAAATACTCCCTAGAAATGAATCAATAGACTCTTGAAGATAATCTCATTGTCAACTATATAATTATTCCAGGTATAATGTTCTTGAATATAATAATATTAGGAGAAATTAGTAATGAATCCAAAACAAATATCTTCAATAATTCTAATAATAACAATAATAACTCTACTTAAGAGACATCTTCTTCTAATAATACTTCATCTGAGTAGACTTATTAATGGAATTATTGGCAATATGATACTTATTAGACTACAACTGAAGAGACAACTACAAGAAACTAACCTATGCATAGAGTTAGAGTCGTCACTAAGCCATCCTGCTTGAAGTAGGCTACCGCCGCCTGTTGCGAAGCCAAGTTAAAGCCTAAGCCCTTTAAAAGAGTTCAATTTATGGATGATGATGTCGCAAGGCTAGGCTCTGATATTATTCCCAGCTATGATATTTGTAGCTAGGTCCCTCATGTTAGAGATAGTCATTTCAGCTCCTCGGTTGAATTCCAACTCTATCAATGAGACCCCTCATTTCTCTGACTCCTTGTGAGCTGACTCAATAGTTTTGAGAACTAATGAATCACAATTTCTAAGAGAAAGAAAGTCCTTGCAATCAATCATCCATAAAGTCCAATGAGCTCTCGGATTTAAAGAAATCTTGCAAAGAAATTGAAAAATTGGTTAAATAAGATGAAAAATGGTCATTATGTATCTATATTTGATTTGTTCAGAATAGATTCCTAGAGCTTTATCAGAATGTAAGTTAAATTAATTTCTGAGGCAATTTATAGATGCCTCATTTGAAAGAATATTGATCAATAAGAAAATCCGGGAACATTGGCTTTTTGATTGCAAAAATGATACTTTCCATTAGGAATTGGATCCTTAGCAATCTTGCTAGAGTCAATAAAATCGTGAAGTCCCCAATTCTTATTCAATTGGAGCTTCGCTTTTTATTTTCCTTAAGAACTTAAAAATAATCATTCATGTCTATCTTGTCTAATATAACCAAACATCGATTTTGAGAGTCGAGTTCTTATTTCTATTTAGAATTTCTTTTTTAAAATCCAATTTTCTTTAATCATAGTCTTATGGGGTTTTGGGGTTTTGGGGTTTTGGGGTTTTGGGGTTTTGGGG